CATACCCTTCCGCTGGCCAACATGGTCTCCACAGTACAAGATCTTATTGACCCGGATTTTGACCCTCTCATCGCGATCCTCGATGACGAACCGCGTTTTTTAAAGCCACTGCCCAGTCGAATATCATCAGAGGACCTGGAGTTTCTGAGATTCCGAGGTGCACTTTCGATTCCCGAGAGCGGACTGCGGAATGAGCTACTACGATGCTATATTCAATGGGTGCACAGTTTCATGCCGGTTCTGAACCTGCAAGAGTTCCTGCGGTGCGTTGCAGAAAATGACCCGGAAGGAAACATCAGCCTCCTCTTGTTTCAGGCAGTGATGTTTGTTGCCACGGCATTTGTGGATTTCAAACATCTGCAAGATGCTGGTTATACGACACGAAAGAGTGCACGCAATGCTTTCTATGAACGATTAAGGGTATGTACGCTGCCAGGACAGGGTCAAGGTCCCGTTCGTGTCTAATCCTTTACACCAGTTGCTCTATTCGCTCGACTGTGAAGAAGATCGAATCGCCATCTTGCAGACCCTCCTCTTAATGACATATTGGTCGGATCACGTCAACAACCCACAAAGAGACATCTGGGATTGGATAGGGATATGCAACACGCAGGCCCACTCTATAGGATTGAACAGAGATCCAACCACGTCCGACATGGACCCCAGAATGAAACGGTTACGGGTCCGCCTGTGGTGGAGCTTGTACTGTCGAGACCGTCTTATTGCCATGGGGTTAAGGCGACCAACCCAGATCAATGAAGGAACCAGTAGCGTTCCGATGTTGCGACTGGACGACTTTGACTTTGAACCGTTCCATCCGTCCGTGATTGAGATATTTCGCTGCCGTCAACTTGAGGATGTGTCCCACCAGAAACGTCTAGCGACTATGTTCATCGAAAAAGCTAAGCTTTGCCAGAGCATTGGCCGGGTACTATTTGCGCAATACACAACTTCTCAATGCCAGTTCGGTGTGACCAATAGGACCACCATTACGCTTGTTCCGCGGCAGGCGTCGGAATCTGAACTGGCTCGATGCAGCCAAAGACTGGACTCGTGGCTCAGCGCCCTGCCGAAGGATGCGCAATACATTCCCGCATCCAAAACCAACTTCGAGGATGGAGAAGACGTTCTTCTCCTTCATGGAGCCATGCTAAGAATGCTTTATCATGCGACCATAAGCGCGCTGCACAGGCCGTGGGCTTATGGCCGGGATCCGGACAAATCGCGCCTTGAAATAACGCAAACTGCGCGATCGAAGATGCACGATGCAGCTTTAGGAATCACACACATTATACAGGGGCTCAATCAGTTAAATCTGACTCGGTTCCTCCCTCAGTCTGGTGTCACTGTGATCATACCAGCAGCCGTGGCGCACCTGTCAAATATCATGTCCAACAACCCCACCGTCCGAGAAACTAGCCTCCACCATTTTCAACGATGCATCCAGATTCTTCGGGGGCTGAGGGATCTCTATCCCGCCGCGGACATGGAAGTCGCCAACATTGAGGCCGCAGTCAAAGTGCAGTCCGATAGTGTTGGCACTTTCCTCAAGATCATGGAATACAGCAATGTTAGCATCAACCAGCTGCAACCCCCCGAACCGCCATTACGCGGACAAAACATCGACTCAAACATGCATACGGCTTTTTCACCAGAGGATAGTTCACCAGATCGGCGAGGGTCCTTCATGGAACCTAACCCCGAGCAAAGGTCCGAGTTGGACGCGCAGCGCAAAGAACACCGCGCTGAGTCCTTCCAAACGAACAGAGCCAGCATTGCCACTTCGATCTCCCGATCTCACAATGAACCCGAAAACACGAACCAGCAACAACAGCAACCTACCCCTACGAATGATTTCGACGACCAGTTCAACAACTTCCCTTCGCCTCAAACAATCAACTCATTTATCCCTGCAGATCTGCTGCGCATTGACATAGACTCTTTCCCCGATTTTGTGCCTCCAGACCCGAATATCTCCTCAGTCCCGGAACTCGGCGTGGACTGGGCAGACGAACTTCTCGGAGGCACAGAGCTAAATCCAGAGTATTCAGGGACGGGCTCGGTAAGCCGTAGCCATGGCGGTATCACTGGCGATTTGGACAGGGATTTGGGTCTGGCTCTTGATTCATATTAACGACGTCCTACATGATGATGATTTTCTTTGGTCGACTTCCTTTCGAACCGGTGTATTGGTTTATGCTACTTTTGTGATATCCATGGTTCCCCTTTGTAGGATTGCACATGATTACCGATACATATTATGTTTTACTACTATTCGTTCTGTTGTATGTAGCTGTGGGTCGAGCATCGTCCAAACAAAGCCTGTTCATCGTCGTTGTGTAAGAAATATGTAGCCATGTTATCGCCATCAATCATCTAAGTCTAGTTGTACCTCCAATCTATCCCAGATTCGTATCTCCATGTACAAGATGTACAGTAGCTGGTTCATCTCGTTAAACAACAGCAGCATATGCTACCTCTGCTTTGCCCAGCGATTGCTCTCATCCCCTTCCTCCCAGTATTGCTCGATATAGCCCAGCCTCTTCTTCACCTCTTGCACCATATTTTTGTCGCCCGTATTCTTGCCCATGTTGTCGCTCAACTTGACGGCCGGGCGGCCGTTGGCCGTAGCGATCTTGATGACGATGTTGAGTGGCTTTGATTTCTTGCCGTCAGATTTATTCGTAAAGTCGTCTGTAAGTCGAAGGGTTAGTGGAGCTGCGGACTTGGGGCTAGATGGGACAGAACTCACTGGTGAAGAAGGTCCCCACGCCGAAGACAGGGACGAAGCCAGCCTCCTCGGCAATGGTCTTGTACTCGAGACAGTGCTCGATGTTCAGCGAATCTGAAAACACGACAGTTTTCTTCTCTTTGATTCCTTCGTTGTCGTAGAAGTCGCGGACCATCTTGACGAAGTAGGTTGGGTCACCGGAATCCTGGCGGACGCCTGTGTAGACTTGCGCATATGTCTTGGGAGAATGCTGGGAGTCGTTCTCGTGGAGGGGAGCGGTGATGGGAGGTTTGGTTTCGGCCTCGCTCTGAGGCTGCGACTCGCTTGTTGTGCCCGCTCCCGATGCAGTTGTGGAGACGGCACCGACACCTGCGCTGGTATGGTAAGGGATCGGCTTCCGGAAGGCGTCGAGGAAAGCCGGGGTACCAAATGTATCGGTGAGGGCGATACCGAGGACCTAGTATAAATTATGAGTGGCCTTGTCTGCGTCGTCCAAGGAGGACCTGATACATACCCCTTCGCCGAAACATCCGAGCCAGTAGCGGAGAGCCAGCTCGTTCGCATTCTCGTAATCATCCGTGATGGCAGCGATGGCCATGAACCACTCGTGGGCCACGGTACCAATGGGAGTCACGCCATACTTCATCGCGAAGTGAACATTGCTGGTTCCCGACAAGACGCCCTTCCAACCCTGTCGCTTTCCCTCTTCAGCAGCCCGGCATAGCCCCTGCATGACCAAGTCCTGGGTATGGTAATCACGTCGACGTCGGGAGCCGAATTCGGAGAAGACGCATCCGTTCTCGAGCAAAGTGCAGCCCTTGCGGAAGGCCTTTTCCTCTTGGTTGCTATGATCCCAATCCTTGTCGGTGAACTTGAAGTACGCCTGACTTGTCAGGGCGAGGAGTGGGATCTCGTAAAGGATAGTCTCAACCCACAGCCCCTTGACCATATATTCAATATCTCCCAAGTCGTCATCGCTACCCGTGTCTTGTACAGGTGTGAACTTGATGTCAATCTGCTCCGAAGGCTTGAGTTGGAACGTAGTCAGATATCCGAGGTAGGCATGGTTGAAGTACGGGCATTGCTTCTTCAGGAAAGCAATCTCCTCATCCGTCACGCGGACATTGGCGAGCCCTATCCAGGCCGACGAGTCAATACCAAGATCTCACAGGCTGAGAATAGAACAAATTCACATACTGTCCATTTGTTCCAGAAGCCATTTATGAGCACCCCGCGTCAACTTCATTTGCGGGGTACGGTTCGTGAAGCCATATGTAACATCTGCGCAAGAAATTCGATCAAAGCAATTCTAGGCTGTATGTCCGGAGCCAAAACTTACGAACATCAGAAAAGTATTTCAGAATAGCGCATTGCATGGTCAGCTTATACAAATCTGTATCCAGAAGGGAGAAAATGCCCTCCGGGCACGGAGGGGTCGTCTCTTGACCCATCGTGGACAACTGTATCGGCTGCACACCTCAATTGGATTTCCAAGGCTCAGCAATTCAGCATCCGGATGAGATCTCAACGTGCGATAAGCGTCACAAAGTCACTAAGGATCAGATAGGGCTAGCAAAAAGTCCGTTGCCGTTTGCCGGGCAATCCTCCAGCGCGGGGAATCAACGAAATAAGAAGCGGTTTGCACTGTTTGCACCTTTATGTAGTTGTCATGAAGCACGCGACGTCATACGGACACAATTTGCATCTGATAACGAAGAAAAGTTGGGAGAGAAGAACTTGATGCAGGGGTATCGAGCAGTTTATATCCTATGGCGTTGCCTTGTACCTACTAATGTTGCGCACAAAGAGAATCATAGTTCATTGGCTTTGTCTATACAGATGAATCATCCAAGTGCATGAATCTAGCTGAGGGATGGACAGACAAAGAGATCTAGTGAACCAATCTTACGGATTGAGGCCTTACTTCAATTAAGACGACAAAGACAAAGGGACTGCATGTTTGACAAACGTGTATAAACAAAAAAAAAATTCAACCCCCGCAGACGGAATCGTACCAACGATGGATCTTTGGGAGTGTAGAAGCGCAACAAGATAAGAAGCAAAAAGAACCGCTCGGCCAGCATGGCGAGCTTAGTCATCAAGACATAAGATTAGGTCTTATGTGGTTAGGCGGTAACACTGCCGCAAGTCACCACTTCCGCCACCAACCTTTGATCATTGTACCGAGCCCAATCGATCATAAAACAACGAAGGCTGCGCGAACCGCAGCATAGGTCCATCAAAATCAGACCCAACAATACAGTCACACATGGCACATGGTTCCGAGGACTGTGCCTCCGTGTTGGAGCAGTTCGTCCACGATGTGGCGAATCTCCCAGCAGAAATCAACCACTTGATGGAAGAGATCCAGGCCAAGGACAAAATCATCCAGGATTGTCGCGCGACCATCAATTCTCGTGACAGCAGTTTACAGAAATTCATCAAACTCAATGGCAGTCTCACGCCGAACCCCAAAGAAGAGCAGTACTCGAAGGTGATTCTACAGAATCTGGACAGGGCGCAACAGTTACAGGACGAGAAGATACAGCTGAGCGAGAAAGCATGCATCCTGCTCGATCGCCAGATCAAGAAACTGGACGTTAAGATACGCGATCTACAAAACGATGGCGTGCTCCCAAATGATCCGCCTCTGCCCTCCCTTTTCAACAACAAAGACCAGTACCGCGATCCGCCCAAGATTTTCTTTCCCGATGCAACCACCGCTGATACTACTTCTTCCCCCCTGCAACCCACCTCAGGCAACACCAACTCCTTACTGGGCATCTCACAACGGCTCAACCAGTCACTTGCCCGGTCTACAAGTTCAGCCGCATTAGCCACGCAAGGCGCCGCGCGCAGTTCAGCTCCAGCAACCCCGTCTGGCACAACCCACTTCCAACACCGGCAACGCGAGTCATCGGCGGGAGCGGTAGAGAACAAGCGTCGCCGGCTCAATGCATCACTGGGCACTCTTCCCGCTGCGTCCTCGAATCTCCGGCAGTCATCCCTGGGCCCCGGCACGCCCAAGGTAGGCACACCGGCTTCCAGTCGCGCAGGCAGCGCCGGGCCGCGCGGAACAGGCGCAATTAAGAAGGCCGCCACTAAGAAAGTCGCGCCTCATCAACAACTGAAGAAGATCAAGGCCCACGGTAAAGCGACGAAACGCTCCTCCAGCGCGAGTGGTCGTGTCAAGCTCAGCGGTGCGACCAAGAAGTCCCCGTCTGCGGCGGGCGGCGATGAAGATGAGGACGATTCGCTCCTCAGCAGTGCCGAAGCTTCGGATTCCAACGCCAGCGATTCTAGACGCATGGATGAGGACGTTGACGAGGAAGAGGAGGAAGAGGAGGGCAACGAGGATACCAAGGTCTACTGTACCTGCCGCAGTGTCAGTCATGGAGACATGGTTGCGTGTGATAACGACAATTGCCCCTACGAGTGGTTCCATTGGAAGTGTGTTGGCTTGACGAGGGAGCCGGTGGGAACTTGGTATTGCCCACATTGCAAGTCAACCTTGGGCAAGTAGTTGGTCTCTGCTGTTATGGCTTAATTCTCTGGTCTGGCGTTCACGATGCGATCTTCTTACTTTATTGTACATATACCCATCACATGTACCCTCATGAAACGGTTCCCCTTACGACATGCGAGATAGCAAGAATAAACTGTCTTTCTTCCTGACGGGATAGCAACTGCTGTAATACAATTCTAAGGCGGCCCTGTAGGTTGAGCTTAGATGTACTTGGTGTAAATCTTCGAGCTACAGAAGCATTAAGAAGCACTGGTATGTTCATAGCATATCATGATTAACTAGAGCGTACAACAAACATGCATCATCACCTCATTACAAATTCTGAGGGAACGGTAAGCCGTTGCAAGGACAATTTTGAAGCTCGCAAAAGAGTATCTGCAGGTCATTTCCATCATATCTCCGAGATTAGAGTCCGAATCGTTTACCGACCGAGACGAATGACACCAGCCGCCATGAGTTTCTGGATCTTCGTCCGAACCTGGACGTTCTTCATGTGTTCTTGCAGGGCAGCAGGGTCGCTCTTGGCCTGCTGGAGGATGCTCTGCATGACTGGGTCCTGAAGGATCGACATGATCTGATTGCAGCACGTTAGAACTACTGTACCAATTAATGGAACGGGCTGAAGTGACTTACCTCGGGGTCGTTCTGGATTCTCTCCATGGTCTGCTCCTCCGTCTCGCCAGCACGAGCGCTGAACTGAGCCTCCAGGCACTTTTGCTGCTGCTGATCGATCTCCCGAGTGTGGGTTCCGTCATCCTGCTCTGCGGCTTCCGTGCAGGCATCCAAGGCCTTGCTGTATTCCTTCATAGCAACCAGAGCCTGAGATTTGCGAATATAGGCGCGGATGAACTTGGGATCACGGCGGATAGCCTCGTCACAATCCTGAACGGCCTGAGGGAAAGCCATAAGCTTGATGAGGGCAGCGGCACGGTTCGAGAACCCTCTGGGGTCATGAGGAGCACGCTTGGTCATCTCGGTAAAGGCCTCCACAGCACCAGGCCAGTCTGCCTCCTGGAACTTCTTCTGGCCGAGCTCGCGAGCCTTTTCTGCCTCGGCGGGGTCGATGTACGCCTCTTTCTCGGCCTTGGCCTTGGCCTTTTCTGCGTTGCGGAGCTTGGTGAGAGCGTCGGGAGTGCGGTGTTCAGTCAGGGATTTGTGGTAGTATTCGATAGCTTGTGTGAAATCACCAAGCTTCTCATAAGCGGTACCGATTCTCGCGAAGGCCCTTTGAAGACAAACGGTTAGCTGAGTCAGACGAAAAGACGGGGACTGCAAAACTCACTTGGCGATGACCTTGAAATCCGCCCGAAGTTCGCGGCCTTCTTCAACGGCCTTCTGACAGATCTCAATGGCACCCTGGAAATCACCCTTCTCGAACTTGGCGGCACCGATGTTGTTCAAGTATGTAATGTCTTTGTTGAGCTCCCAGGCCTTGTTGTAGTGCTCAATAGCCTCATCGAATTGCTTCTTCTTGTAGAAGTCGTTGCCGATCTTCTTCTCGGCGTCACCAGCTTCCTGGGCCTTCTTCTTCGCAATAGTCTCCTCATCCTCGGGCTCAGGCTCAGGCTGGGGTGCTGGTTCGGGTTCCTTCTTCTTTTCAGCAGCAGCGGGCTTCGCATCGGGCATCGGCACGTCCTCCTCAGCTTCCGCAGCAGCCTGAGAGGAACCAGCGGCCTCCGGGGGAGCTCCAAAGCTCATGTCGATTCCCAGCAGCACACTCATGACCTGTAAGAAACGGGGATCCTGAATCTCCTGCGGGCTCATGCTGTTGGGGTTTTGCTGAAGGCGCTGGAGTTTCGCCATAAAGTCGGCGTCTGCGAGAAGGTGGGAGGTCTTGGGGTTGCTGGCTAATTTCTGGAACATCTGAGGGTCGTTGAAAATTCCACCCAAACCAGCGGCAGGGTCGACACCGTCGGCCCGAGCTTCCCCATCGATGGCTCTCTTCACAGCGTTGAGACCGGACTTAGCCTGGTCGTTGCTAGGATCGAGCTTCAGAGCTTCTTCGTAGGCATCGTGAGCACCCAAGAGGTCTCCAAGACCACGGCAAGCGGCTCCTTTACGGCTGTAACCCTTCGACCAGTCCGGCTTGATATCAATGGCCTTGTTGGCATCGTCCAGAGCTTTCTGATAATCTGACTGCGCAGCGTAGACCGCTGACCGGTTGGAGTATAGAATGTGGTTGCTAGGCTCAAGTTCAATAGCCTGTGTGAACTTCTCACTGTTCCAGTTTAAAGAATGGTTAGTCTTTCCTTCTCGTGAATTCCGTGCAGCCTCATTCAGACGAGCGGGGTAGCGTAAATACATATACGTACATAGCTGTAGGATAGTCCTTAGCAGAGAAGGCCTTATTGCCCTCTGCCTTCAAAGCGTCAGCCATACTGCAAGATTTCCGTCAAAAACTGGTACGCTGGAGCTGGTTGGAAACAATTGCGGTAGAGAATCAGCAGATGACAGACAAAGCGAGAGAGAGCTGGGGCCCATATTAATGAGCTCTACCCGCTGGAGCTTCTGGAAATTTCCGAGGAAGTCATTGGATGCCTGAGGCAAAGTTCATGCCAAGCCTTCTGGAGCTTTACTGGCCCTAAACCCTTCTGGGTTGAGGGGAAAAGACCGCCGAACAAAAAAATAACATCTCCGCCGCATTTTCCTACGTAGTGGTTAGTCACGCTGCCACAATATTTTGAACTCTGCCGAGGACGTGCATCTATTCTTGCGCGTGCTATCCTGCGTTGCTCTGGCTGGTCGTTTTCCGTTGGCGTCGCTTAGCGGAGTTCAATTTTTTTTCCATTCTTATTTGACAATGCTCGCTTTCAATGCTGTCCGGTGATATTTCTCTCGTTCTGTGACCAACGGCTCAAAAATGGCCTCCGCAGGCCCCTCTGGCAGCTCCATCAATGAGCTTGCATCTAAACTTTACGACGAATGTCTAAAGAGATACGACTCTGATCATCTCTTCTATCAACAAGACCTGCTGGGCTTGGGGGTCGTCGAGAGGAATAACCTACCACTTCTGCTGCAATGCACACAGCTGCTCGTTGACCAAAAACTATTTCGCCTCCTTCAGGGCAAAAATGAACGTTTGGCATGGAAGATCATTTCTCGGGAAGATGCTGAGAAGTACGCTATCTGTTGGCTACTATCAAGTCCATGTATACGGCTGCTAACGCCCTATTCTTTTCTTGCATAGGCTTCAGAATCTCAGCCCCGACGAAAGTTTAGTCTACAATGTCATCCACTCGACAGGACGCAACGGCATTTGGGTCCGTGCGATACAGAATCGGACCAACTTACACAAATCTATCTTAGATCGTTGCCTCAAATCGCTGGAAGGGAAGAGTTACATCAAGAGCGTCCACAATGTCAAGTTTCCGAGTCGGAAGATGTATATGCTGGCCGGCCTTGCTCCGAGTGAGGATGTGACGGGTGGTGCTTGGTTTACCGACGGAGTACTGGACGCGAACTTTATCAGCACGGTTGCTGGCTTCATCGAGTATACCGTTAGCCGGAAGAGCTGGTATGAGGTTCCTGCTACCGGGAACAAGCGCTTGAAAACGGCCGACGGGCGTGCCTCGGTAAAGCAGGAATCGGGTGAGAAGAAATACCTGCCTTACCCTGCCGGCTATGAGGGCTATCCGACAGTCGCGATGATTACTGCGGCAGTGAACGAAAGTGGGATCACACCCGTCCGGCTCGGAGAGGAGAGCATCATACAATTGCTGGAGATGCTCTGCTATGACAAGAAGCTTGTTGCGCTGAACAATGGTCAATTCTACAAATCGGTCAAGAATCCCGCAGCTGTAAAGATGGAAAAGAATCGGAAACCAGAGGGCGACGTGGAGGATGTGGGCGACAAGCTGGTGACGAACGGCATGACCGAAGTACCTTGCGGTCCATGCCCTGTCTTCAAGCTCTGCGTCCCTGGAGGTGCCGTGAGTCCGGAGACCTGCGAGTATTTCGATCCTTGGCTGCAAAAGGCCCTCGGATTCTAGCTTGCTGCACGAGCTTCCGTCGTCAATGAACGTCCTCCCACGGCTGATATCCCGTTCATTTCTTCTTTTTTTGCTCATATTTATGGCGCGCTCATTTTGCGCCAGGTCATTTGTGTCTGCATAGCGTTGGCGTTCTTATGTCTCGGGACTGGTCAAGGTTTTAAGGTCTCCTGTTCTCTTGATATGAGCAAGTTGTTCAGGGTTAGAGGAATGAGATCAGAGTTAAGGATATGATTTCGTCTGTTGGCTTGTATGATATGCGCTGAAACGGAGTTCCTTTTGGCTCTAGCTTTGCATCAGACAGCCCTGGTCTAAATTGGTTCTTGAAAGTTTCAGGTATCGTCAGTAGAAGTATCTCTTTGGCAGCGACTAGTCGCCAGTACCTCATGATCACCCGAGTGCTTCATTGCCAATCGCCCCTTAAGGTGATGCCAAGGCAAAGCGTATCAGCGTATAAGCATGGGACGGCCAACAACTACTTATTCGTCAAGTTGAACTGCTTCACCAAGTCAAATCCCGACAAGCCTGCGCCACTATCATTTGGTGAGAATATCTCATTCATAAGAGAATTGAAGGCGTCAAGTTGCTACCCACAAACGGTGGAAAGACATAGAGGGAGCTACCATCTTAGTGAAGCCATCAAGGGAAGACATCCTGTCCTACTGTGCATCGTGCAATACTACCATAGTATGGAGTAATGCCGATAGCGCACTGCATCGATACGCAGTATCTAGACTCAGTATTATTATTGATGAGACGGAAAACAATCATCAGATCATTGGGACCTCCAACACGTTAGCCGCATAAGTAGCTTGAACTTGCAAAGCCAAACCCAGCGCATGGGCCTGGAACCGGTCCCCCACTTCGGTTATTTTGTTCAACTCCATGATTCAGTCTATCAGAGGGCCCATGCTGAAGCCTCAATATTCAGGTTTCTGGCTTATGCATGATTGTGATTTCATCACACACGTGGATGGCCTGAAGTAGATTAATGCCTCAGGCTGACAGACGACTATGGTGCAAGTCTTCCCCCGCATCATTATTGGGAACCATGGGTGGATGTGAGACAGTCAATGGTTCCTGGATTCCTAGCAATATCAAGTTATCAACTGGTCTGTTTATGGTAGATCGTTCAGACTTAGACTATTGTAAGTATGAGCCTTTTCAACGGACTGAACTCGATAGTGTAGTCAATCTTCAATGTCTTACTGCTAGTAGTAGTGTTTACTCCGTATGATTGAACAACATAATCCCTGCAGTGATTCAAAGTTCTGTAAATTTTTTATTGGACTGGAAGGATTGGGGTGGCCGTGGTCAAAGTTTCAACCATGCATGCTTGAGTTAACCAAATATATATCATTTCCCGCGGAGTACTCTACTCTGTACAATGATCTCAGACCGCAGGACAATTCAGCTCAATACATGTACGCTACGTGCCTACGTGCAAACAAAGACACTAGCCAGGTATTATCTTTGATGTCAGCTTGCGTGGCAAAAATCAAGATGGGCCGAGATCCTGGGGTTACACCACCGACCTGTATATTTCTTCTGAGGAGGTGTGGCTGGTGACGGAGGATAACTGGCAACAGGAGAGTGACGGAACTTTATTCAGAACTTCACTTCTGTAATTTAGTGTCTGAAATTATGAGGTGTAATATGCCAGTATGACTGTGTCCATGATGCCGAAAGTCAGGCATCCACGTTGATAAACTGAGGGTGTCGCAAAAACCAGTGCGGATATGATTTCCTGCGAGGGGTTTGCCAGCTGAACCCTTAGGGTATGTAGCTGCCTGATTGGTAAGAGACGGTATCTGATACAGGAACAAGGAGCTTCCTAAGAGATGAGGCAGTATCTGCCTACGGAGTAAAAGTTCGTACTCTAGGTAGTCATAGTCGTACCAGACTAGAGGGAGTGTTATGTGGCGCACTATCGAGTTAGCCTTCCAGAATTCCTGCTTTGGGATTAGCTTGGATTTAACAATGTGGCGGTGCAGTCATTCTACTAAAAGCTTCCTTCAGGCTTTTTGCAGCTGGGCCAACATGCCTCGGCTTGAAGAATTCGGCTACCTAAAATACCACTGAGCACTTTGACGTATATTAATTCTCATATTGAAACTGTATTCAGCAGTAGATATAAGAAGGACTAATGATTTAGAGGACAATTATCGGGACTCGGAAGAAACGTAGATCGTTAGTAAGGCGATGAGCTGCCTGCTGTCGTAATTCACGCTAATCACTGACAGTCTCAAGTCTCCACAAAAAATGATTCGTTCAGGAGAAGAAAGAATAACGAATGAGGAGGGGAAAAAAAAGTAGAACTAAGGTACCTAGGAACTAGGAAGGAGATCGATCGTGGAAGCTCATCCTCCTTTTTCTGGATAGTAAGTAGACAGATACGTCACGACCCGAAGCTAGCTGGCCTGATCCCTTTTCTTCTCCTCCGTACTTCTGCTTCTATCGACTATAGATAGACATCTCTCTACCTTTTTACTCTGAGAGTACGGAGTACTCCATACCAAATTCCTCTATATCTTGATCATCCCCTGTCCAATCAATTGGCATCCATCACCGGCCTCTTCTACCCTTTAGTCCCCCATCATCGTTCTCCCGGCCCGATCTACAATACTCCGTACGCTGGCCGCGCTCATTTTTGACGCAAGTGGCTCTAAATCGACTCAATCCTCGGCTACGTTGCCCTGGTCTGATTAAACTCATCTCTATTCGCATTATTTTATCATAAACCCATCTCGTCGACAATCGACAGTTTACACTAAGAATATTGCCTCCCTTCTCTCGCCCGTTCTTATCCTCGATCCTCCCGAAAGTGGGTGCCTCAGTTCCAAGGTACGCAACAAGTCCCACTACCCAAGTGCATCTCCATCTCAGCTCGTCATCGTTGGCACTTCGTGCTTCGCCGATTCGGGATCCCCGCTGCGGAGGTTCCTGAAGGCAACCATCGAAATTAAGCGCCAAAAATCCAATGCTCCCACTTGAGCGCCCCCGAACTCTCTTGAACCGAAATACACACTATTGCCTTGCATTGTGTATTTTTCGTTGATCCTTTTTCTCTCTCTTTTTTCTTTCCCCCTCTTATCCTTGCTCATCAGTGCATATTTTGTCCTCATCAGCCACAATCCCAAAGAGAAGAAGGCCACCATTGGCGGTTCTCTAACGGTTTGTAGTAGGTGAATTCTTCACCCGAGGCTTTCCGCTTTGTTCCCCGGACCGGAGGCAGCCATGGCCTCGCAGAACGTAGAGGACCAAAAGGGTGAATTGAGGCAGCAGGGAGCCATTGAGACTGCGCAAGAGGCCTCCAAAGACCCTCAATCTAACCTCCGACCAGAAGCGGTAGAAAAGGTATTAATCGAGGAAACGAGGAAAGCTGGCT